GGGGGGGGGGGGGTGAAGGAGTACAGGAAACATGGGAATTTTGGGGAAGGTGGGTTGAGGAGAGTATCATAAAAAAATATTTTCCTAAAAATATTTTATACTCTCTAATCAAACACTAGAAAATATTTTTCGGAATTTATTTTTCACTCACCAACCAAACAAGGAAAAATAAACATTTTCCATGGAAAACATTTTCCCTTATGCCAAACACCCTTCAAGACTAACACTATGCTATAGGGATTTTTTGAGTTCAATCCACCAAACGCAAACCAAACTTCGACTTGAAGATTTCCTCATCGGTTGTAGTGTTCCTAGGAACAACCTAAACCTGTGAAACAACTGAATTCCTGCAAAGTAATGCTTCCGCCTTCCAGGCTTGGGGTTCGCCTTTGACTTCAATAATCAAACACTTCTCTACTTGAAGCTCAAGTTACAAGAATGTATGTTAGAGCAACCTGTTAATTAATATACTACCATCAGTGTGTTGACTTCAAATCTTGGCACAAGAAACCCAACCGTAATTCATGAACTATTCATGGCCACTGCTGTGCTGGCAAAATGATATCTTAATCTTTGTTCTTAAGATGTCAGGCGACGTGATATATTTTGCAAAAGAGTTTGGGATGAATCTTTCCTTTTTGTCTTGTAAGTACATACAAGTTCTGCAACTAAGTCTCGGATAAATCTATCAAAGCTCATTTGTTCTTATGATGAGCATAACTGAAACTATGATTTTAGCGAAGTTTATTTTGCTGAATTATGATGGTTGAAAGGATGATTTTAGGGAAGTTTGCTTTACTGAATTATGATACAGCTCTTTCTTATGTATCCTGTTAGGCATTAGACCTTGGAAGAGGTGCAAATCCAGGAAGTTACATGGTTGAAGAGATCTGGGAAGAGCTTGCAAAAGCAAAATACTTGGAGTGGGAGCATGAATCTACAAGGCGCTCCTGGGAACTTCAGAACTTGAAGTAATAGCTCTTGCTTATGTCACTTATAAATTTCCGTTACTTTTGTTGTATTTTTATACCAATGTCGTAGGTTGTCTCCCCATTATTTTTATTGTGAAATGTGCCTCAGAGAATCCTGTGAATTAGCTCTCAAGGAGAAACACATGCTCGATAGTTCTCAGATGGAAGGGCTTGTAGATGAAAACTCAATGTCTCTTTTGAAGCAATTGGAAGCTGTGGACGAAGTTTTCATGAAAGCTGCAGAAGATGATACTCCAACTGAGGTGAGCATTCAAGCATTATCATCTTAGTGATTACTCCCTTTTGTAAGCAAGTGTGTTGTGTTATCCTTTGACACTGAGTATTCCCAGGTTCCTGATCACTTGTGTTGTAAAATCACTCTTGATATTTTTCGTGACCCTGTCATCACTCCCAGTGGGGTTACATACGAGCGGGCAGTGATTCTTGACCATTTGCAGAAGGTAAAATTTGTTTCCTCATCACCTTAGGCATCTCAGATTCTCTTCCATTTGTATTATATCGATATTCCTGAGTGTGCCAATTTAGGTGGGAAACTTTGATCCAATCACACGAGAACCACTTTATACGTCCCAGTTGGTGCCAAATCTAGCCATAAAAGAAGCTGTACACGCATTTCTGGATAGGCATGGCTGGGCATACATGATAGATTGAATTTTTCATTGGTATGATCAATATCATCTGATGCATGGCAATGATGGTGCTAGTGAAACCAAGAACAGAGCCAGAGGGTAAGGAGGACACGGCTTTTTGTGGGAGTCATCTGGCTAACAGCTTCCAGTATTATTGAATATTAACATGGTTTCCCATGTTAATCACAGTTGTACAGTGTAGTGCTTTTGTAATGGCTCGTTGGTCTTCATTAATTGTACAGCAAAACATCAAGCCAGCTTTTTGTGAGATGTTACAGTTACACTGTTGATCAAATGAAACAATAGTCTTTTGATATACAATGTCTGTTCCTGTGTGAAGAAATTGACAAGCTTGAACTAGCTTCTGACTTGATTTTCCAATATGTTCTCCATCACACCAATATAGGCACAAAATGAGAGCTTAAAACTGCATTTCCCCCTAGGATACTGTGTTTGTTATTAACTAGACTTCAGCAATTGAGCCCCGTTTCCCTTTTACCTAGCAGTCCTGTATCTCTCATTTCTCTTCACAGATCACAATCCATGCAACATTGAGCAGTCTACTAGCTCATCTACGAAGTATATGTAGATAGATATTAGGGGTGTCAAATTTAGTCTATGAAAACATAATCTGTCCAACCAATTCGGCCAGATTTGGGTGGCAGAGGTATTAATTGCAATCGCGTGGCATCGGTCGCGATCGCGTAGAAGGATTTTAAGGGCCAGTGGTTTGTTCTTCACGAACGCGTTCTAGGAGTCGTTCCCAAAGATGATTTTCCGCGTTTTGGGAGTCGCGATCGCCTAGGTGTGCATGTGGGTGTTCTTTGCGAACGCTTGAGGTACACGTCGCGATTGCAATGTGCATTTTCTGCCTAGGGGTATATTATATCCAGATATTGGGATTTAGCTCATTGTCATCATTTTTGAGTTTTGGACTTCAGGAAGAGGCGATTTTAGAAGGGGATTACGAGTATATATTCATTGGTGGGTCATTTTGCACATACTTATACTATCTACGAATTTAGGATTGAACTTGAAAAGTGATGCATGGTACTTGCGAGTCAAATCTTGAGGTGAAGATGTTACACTCTTGTGCTTAGTCTATTTTAAAATTTCTTGGTGTGATGAGTTAGAAGAATTGTTTAAAAAGGCCGTGTTTATATAAAGTGTAGTTTGATTGCTCAAGGACGAGCAATGTTTAAGTGTGGGGCAGTGATGTTTGGCTATAATTTCATATTTTTAGTGCATTACTTATCTTACATTTTGAGGCTTTAATGCTAAACTATACTATATTTGTGCTTAATTGAGTTTATTTTATGTGTATGTACGTTGAAGACGAAATTAGGAGCAAAGTAGAGATTTTATGTGTATTTTATACACTACAAGAAAGGAGCTATGATTATTTGATTATTGAATATACAAGGAATAAAGTTTAATATTACAAAGGAAATCAAAACAAAGAAAGGAGAACAACTAAAAATGAACCAAAAGCAAGAAACGAGAATGAGAAAAGAGTTTGAAAAGTTAGGCAGCAAAAATTGAATTGAAGCTAAGCAGTTGGGCGACACGAGAATATTTGCTCGCTATAGAGCATGCGACACGAGGATTAAAGCTCGCTATGGAGCTGGCGACGGGCAGGCTAAAGCGAGGAGGAGCTCGCGTCAGAGGTTGCGGCGCACAGTGTGTAGCGAGGTGAAACTCGCGTTTTGCCTCGCGAGGCGAGACCCGTGGCGAGCGTGTTCCGGATTTTTAAAGCCTACTTTGTCTCCTATTTGGTTTTGGACTTGGTTATTTCGTCTAGGTCTCTTCCCTACACATATAAATAGTCATAAAACACCATTTTTCAGGAGTTTGGTGACCGGAGGCAAGAACATCACGTGGACAACTTTTGGAGGAGAAAATCATAGAGTTCTTCATCCCTTTATCTTTTCCTTGTAATTTATTTATGCAAAATACTTGGAAGTTTGTTACTACGAACATGAGTGGCTAAAACCCATAATTCTGGGGTTGTGATTTAGCCATGCATATTGTTGTTTTACGTTGACTTAACCTTGATTACAATTTACTAATATATGGTTGTTTCTTCA